TGCGCATGTAGGCTGTTACTGTGCGAACTTAGCTGCGCATGTAGACTGTTACTGCGCATGTAGCTGTTACTGTGCGATTAGCTGTTACTGGGCGATTAACTGCGGGGTAATGCTGAGCATTTATTGCTATTCTGTTCCGACTGGTGTCCTGCTATAGGTCCTACAGTTGCGGCTTCGTTATTATGCAGGAATGCCGCGTATGATAATATCAGGAGTGAATAATAAATATATTATTATTTACTCCTGATAATATGCGTCAGCTGGCAAGGTGCGTCCGCGTGTTCCCAAGCTGTAACACGTAACTGGGTGTGCTGAAGCTGCGTCTGCGCATGCGCACACCCTAATTAGCGTATCGATAATATTTTAATAAATCGCTCTGCCGTGCGTATTACTACCTATACACAATAATTATTTGGACTTATAATTTGCTATAATGACAGAGAATGACAGAGTATAGTATAAGTATATATTATTGGTAATTTACTAGTCTGTGCGATGTTCGGAAGGACTCTCTGCGTACGAGGTTACCGAATAAACCGGGTCGGTCAGCGCGGGAGTGATGGATCAGTTAATGTCATTCTGCCCAGAGAGCGCACTGCGCAATAATCATTGACAAAAACTGGCTTCCAGAAGAAAATTAAGTTTCATGTACACTAAAAGGACATTACATGGCACGTGTCACCAGATCTACAAACGTTGATTTCTTTATTTTTATTACTTATTCATTTGTTTTTTTTATTTAATCATATGATTATTTATAATAACAAACTCTTCTGGTATCATTTGAACGGCGTAGTATTGTGTTTTTCCCGGGGATGCACGCGATCGAGGGTTGTGACTGTATTAGCTTAGATCGACAATGATGATGAGACAGTAGCGACATCACGGTGACACGCGACTGGTGCTCTTATAGGACATAATAATTGACATATCATGATATAACTTGACATATCAATATATAATACTGATCTAATTTTACCCCGTACATGTCTCAGCAATGTCAAAAATACGGGGTCGCCTGGCCGCGCTTGTGCCGACCTCTAGGGACATCGGCATTGCTGATTAGGTAGGATGCCATAGCGACTGAGAGTGATGCTGGCTGGAATCTACACTGCTTTTAATAATCCCCTCAGCGGGTTTTGTTCTCTATGAATATAATTGAGGTACTTCCGTGCGTGCGTAGGCTACGTGCGTGTGTGTGTGTGTGTGTGTGTGTGTGTGTGTG